TTTTAAAAAAGAAAAAAAAACCCCAGTCATTGGGATGTACATGTTTATATGATTTTCACTTAAGTATAACCTCTTCATTCTTCTGGTATTCATTACTTTCAGCCAGGATCCATCTGACACCAGCAGAGATATCCCGGGTGCCCCGTCCTCTTCTAAACAGTGCTTGAGCTTCTGGCAGTTCCCTACTTATGTACTGTTCCAGCCACTTTTGAATTATATTCAGTGATTTGCTTGCATGTGGTATTAATGATAATTGATCAATACCACATTCAGTTGGATCACCTTTATTGGGAATGGAAACAAATATGGAATTCTTGCAATCTGTTTATTAGAGAGCTATCCTCCAAATTTCCTGGCATTAGCTGCATCTGTTAATTGAAAGAAGTCAATTGGTATCCCATAAATTCCTAGGGTTCTCTTTTTTTGCCAGTGCCTTCAATGCCTGGCTGAAAGTAAAGAATACTGGAAGAATGTCTATTTGTGCTTTATTGACCATGCAAAGGCATTTGACTGTGTGGGTCATAACAAGTTGTGGCTAACATTGTGAAGAACGGGAGTCTCAGAGCATATAATAGTGCTCATGCAGAACCTATGCCTTGGACCAGGAAATTGTTGCATGTACAGAGCAGGGACACCGCATGATTCAAAATTGGGAAGGGAGTGCGTCAGGATTGTATTTTTTCTCCGTTCCTGTTCAATCTGTGTGCTGAGCAAATTATTTGAGAAGCTAGACACTATGAAGAAAAATGTGACATCCGAATTGGAGGGAAACTCATCAATAACCTGTGTTATGCAGATGACACAATCTTGCTTGCTGAAAGTGAGAAGGACTTGAAGCACTTGTTGCAGAAGATAAAGGAATGCAGTGTTCGGTATGGATTGCATCTCAATGTAAAGAAATCAAAGATTCTTACCACTGAACTAATGCAGCGTCACGATGAATTGAGAGTTGATTGAAATTACCAACAGCTTTATCTTTCTTGGATTCACAATTCATATCTTTGGTACCAACAGTCAGGAATAAGGAGACACGTTGCACTGGGAAAACTTTTCCAAATTATTGAGAAGTAATGATGTCAGTTGGAGGACTAATGTGTATCTGATTCAGGTTATGGACTTTCTAATCACTTGCTATGCATCTGAGAGCTGGGAAGTTATTAAGGATGACAGAAAGAAAATTGACTCCATTGAGCTGTGGTGTTGGAGAAGAGCACTGAACATCCCATGGATGGCCAAGAGAACAAACAGATATATCTTGGAGAGGGTGCAACCAGAATGTTCTTTGGAGACAAGAATGATGAGGCTTTGCCTCACATACTTTGGGCATTTTGCTAGGAAGGGCTATTCGTTGGAGAGGGACATGATGTTGGGAAGGGTGGAGGGTTGGGGAAGGAGAGGAAGACCCTCAACCACATGGATTGATAAGGTGACTGCTGCAATGGACTCTTGTGTGTCGGGAAATGTGAGGATAACACAGGATAGAGCAGAATTCAGATATTTTGTTCTTAGGGTCGCTATAAGTAGTACTTGACAGCACTAACAACAACAATAATATAACCTAATCATCATTAATATAACCTAATAATCATTTTACCAGATTTTACAATCAGAGATTGATCGAACATGCAATCAAGATGCATTGATAATAATGGGTGACTAGAATGCAAAAGTCGGGAACAAAGAAGAAGATTCAGCAGTCGGAAAACATGGACTCGGTGACAGAAATGAAGCGGGAGAGAGAATGCTCGAATTTTGCACAATCAATGACTTATTCACAGCAAATACATTTTTAAAGAGACATAAATGCAGGTTATATACCTGGATTTCACCTGATGGTATGCATAGGAATCAGATCGATTACATATGTGGAAAGAACCACTGGAGAAGCTCAATATCAGCAGTGAAAAATAGGCCAGGAGCTGATTGTGGAACAGACCACCAACTACTCATATGCAAATTCAAGCT